TCTTCGTATGACATGTTGTTTTATAATAAAACAACACGTTTATGGTAAAATATATTCACTTTTAATCATCATTATTATTATTTCCTTAAATATGTATATGTTCATATCAACATTCATTTAAATTATTCTGTTCAACATATATACAAATTATATACAATATGTTTATATATAATTTAGATTATTCATTTTGTTTCCATTAAAGTTCAAATTATTATGCTGTAACCATTATTTTAAAATTTGATATGTGGAAATGTTGTTAAAACTTATCATACTTTAACTTTTTTAGTATTTACAATTCATCATCACACAATACATTATCATTGAAAGCATTTTCTTGAATACTTTTGATATTGATAATTATTTATTGAGGCCACTCCAATTGACATTTATTAATGATAAGCAACTATATAACAGTGCATAATATAATAAATACAGACAGCAATATATATTCTTCAAGATTTAAGAAAAATACTAACTTTATGCATTTAAAATGAAGGTTCAATTTTAATGGACTACTGTTACATGAAGATGGTGAGAATAGTGTCTTAGGACATCTTGTTTCTACTTTTGAAAACAGGACAAATAATAGGTAATAATGGTAGTTATTTATACTTATGTGTTTTTGAATGTTGAATCTTTTATATGCAATTTATTAAGCAGTTGTTGAACAAATTTATGTTTCTACCAAATTTTTTATATTTGCAATGTATGGTGTGCTTTTCAATGGATAAACTAAAGATTTTGTTGTATTATTTGTACTAACAATTTCATAACGGGAAATTATTACCCTTTATACAATGAGTATAATAAAAACGAAATCTCTTCTAAAAAATATTTTTGTTAAGAATAATTTTTGTTATGATTGAAAAACAATATTACATTAAACTTAAATTTACTTTGCATCTAGTAGCGGTTAATTTTATATGTAAATGATCGTCGAAGTTCATTATTTGTAAAAAGAAGCAAGAATAAAACTGCAACTGATACAAAAGTAATACATTACGAGTCCCTTTTATATGAAAATATCGTAAATTTAAAATTCAAGCTTTTGTATATACATCGTATACTGTTAATACTTCTCATGAAACTTTGTCTTCATTGAATCTAAAAATTGTATCACAATGTATGCTTTGAAAGTTCAAAGGCATCCGACATTAAACTAAATTTTTAATCCTTGCACTTTCGATCGCGTTTTATGCTTCAGCTTTTACGTATTTATATAATCTATCATGTCTTTTCGTGCTTTTTACAGACTCATTAAAAAAGGTACTGAAAGTACAAAGAGATAAAAGAATTAAATAACTTACTTATATAGTTATTCTAATTTCTACAATATTTTTCATTCTAATCACAACCTCTATTTTTATTCTTTTAGTTTATTTTTAATTTCGTTTTATATATAATCCGAATGTAGTATTTTACCTAATATTATGCACAAGTGAAATAGCCTTGTACCATTCACGATTGTGTAGTTAAAAATTGCATGCAATAAAATTAGTTCCCTGAAAAAATCTACCAGTGATTTAAATGTTCTTCTAAAACATATAAACTTGAACTTACAAAGAAATACTTTATACTTATTTAACAATAAAGTTCGCCACTGCAGTAAGTTCATCAACAAACAAGCAAGCAAAGTGAAGTAAAATCGGTAGAGTTTTGAAGCTTATAGTTTTATAAGTTCATGTTTGAATTCTTCTGTAGTGGTTAAATGTTCGATTTAGTAAATTCATCGAAAGAAAGTATTTCGTAAAGATTCACACATGCCCTCCTGTCTCTCTTACATTTAACAGTTGGTAAGTATATAAACCACGATCAATTTTTTTTTCGTAGTCACATTAACATTCTTCCCGAATTTCTAAATATTTGATCAAATCAAACCTTAAATATCTGATAGTTTGAAGACACAAATAAAACAGGTAATAATTTGTTCTGTCCCTGCCACTTACCCACGACTCACTGAGCTTCCGCCACTGTGCAAGTGGAGACCAAAAGGAAAGCAAACAAAAAAATACTTAGAAGATCTAACTCAGACCTAACCGATATGTATTTGTATAAGTGGCGGATACAGAACAAATCAGTATCATACAATACTATTTTATCCTCTCCATTAATTGACGCTCATTGTTATTCTCCTTGCGCAAAAACCCACCTACCATTGCATATCTTCGCTAGACAGAAGGAACAGAAACGAGATGTTAAGGGGGTCGCCAAAACAGGAAATTACAAGAGCAACACCTCGTTTTCTCCTTCGATCCCAATCAATTTCACACCTCGTTGCCATTACTTCTTTAGTACTAATGCCCGAAAAACGATTACCATCTATGCCTCATCACCGATGTGAGAAGCAATCGGTGCGTGATTGTCGCAGCAGCCGGGACGTTAATTTCGGCGGGCCGCCGTCGAATAAGGGCGTGGATCGCGATCAATGATAGGTGTGGCGCGTCGGCGAGCAGCGTGTTTAGAGAGGAAGAAACGTCGAAGTAGACACACGTGCTGGTCAACGAGATTCGTTTAACGATACCACGACGGAGTAGCATCTCGGAATCGGACGAGCTGCGCACTCCTACTTGCAGAGCTTGGGTGCCCCTTTCCTCTTTGCCCATCGGTTCCCGTGCTCGCTCTATCGCTCGTTAGGCGCGTTAGTCCTCTTCTTAACACGGAACTTTCGACCTCTCGTTCCCTGACGAACAGCACCGGCCACTTAGTTTATGCTCGACCCTGTCGTCGATCGGTTCGCGGTGGTCGCCGCAGGAAAAGACGATCGGCCCGGCGGAACACGTGGGACTCACGGTCTTCCCTGACGAAAATACCGATCGAACTGGTAACTCTCGAAAGAAATTATTTTTACGACTCCATTACGTCGCCCGTCCGCTTCTTCGTTTCTTCTTCACTCTGCTCTGCCGCTCTGGCTGGCCCCCTTATCTTTCACTTCGCGATAGAAATTCTCTCACGCTTATCTCTTGCGTGCATACGATTGTGCGTAAACACGTGAAATGTTTAATACTGGAACCACAGCATCCGTCAAAATGAGAGGTTTCAATTTACTCGCGAAACGAGTAAATTAATACTCTAAAAGCGTTAAATATCCGAAATGATTTGCAAATATAAATATTGGGTCGTCCTATGATTCGTTCCGTTGCGTGTTAATATTTTTCACGTTTCGTAATCACAGAGTCAGTAGTCAGTAGAAGTCAGTAGTAGTCAGTAGAAGGTACTCGAGAATGACAGGTCGTGAAGTTATAAACATTTTATATTTAATAACATATTATTTTATATGATAGAAAAATAAACGGCACGAACTTACGGGACCTAATCGTTTCACTTGAATATTATAATGGATATATGAGGAAATCGAGAGAAATCTATTGTTACAATATTTATAAGGATTACATATTGATCATGTTAAACGCTCGGTTCTTCTACTGTTAAAAATCCGCAACGAAAAGTATGGGGGAACTTGACGTGAAGCTTGACTTTCGGTTTTTAAGGCATGCTCACACCGATTGATAGTCCTTCCACGTGACCGGCGATTGATGGAGTTCGTTGAGATTAGGATAAGTCTTGGATTAGGGTGACGATTAGGGCGACGTGAGTTTCTAACGATAACCGGTACACGCGCGACACGTTGGATCGGTTCGTTGAAGGGGGGAAGTTTTTGTGATGATTGATCGTTTTACGCGTATCAGTGCCACGCATCTTTTCCATTCAAGGATAACACACTTCGTACATGTAAACCGTTAGTCTACACCTTTTCGTTGTTTGTGACCAACTGTTGTTACGTTGAACGTTATATATTTTTGAAGCTCGATACAGTTTGTATAATTTTAAACTGTCTTTTTTTTCATTTAATATTTTGGTAAACTGGGATATTTAAATAAGTAGGTGAGTTAACGTATGTAAATGTATTTAGGATCAACTTCGTTATTCAACGAATAAACTAGAGTGAGTATTATGAAGTATTTCTGACGAATTGTTATAATTTCTTTTATTTTAATTATGAATTAAAGACACAGTTATTACAGCGTAGTAACTTACAAATAAGATTAGTTAAAATACTATTAGATATTTATATCAGTAATTTACATTTGCATAGTTAACGGACGTCTTAATTGAAAGATCAAATTTCCAAGTTTGAAATTGATTCATTTTCTGAACTTGTCCAATTCACAAATTAAATCACTTCAAATTTCATGAATATCAACGGCTTGTTTATTGTTCGGCGTAACAATCTTAATTGAAAAGTGTATTAACGATTTTCACCTTCGAAAATATTTTTAATAGTCAATTGATTTCAAAGTCATCTGATCTTATTTGACTTCAATCTTTCATTATCAATTACGTCCTTGCTAGGGAGACTACATCATTAATAGATTCTTAAGTGAATATGCTTTGACGTGAATCCTCGGGGAAGTATCAGAATATGATAAATGCTTCGAAATTGTTTTAACGGTCGGCGAATATTTCATTCAATTATACGGAATTGTTCCCTTGCGCCGAAGATGCGTCACTACCAACTGGCTTCCTTCTTTAGAGAGATAGGCTTCGTTATCAATGACGGCCGGCGTGCAACGCGTGAGAAGGTTAATTGGTGGTTAATAAACATGGGAGTCGTGTATGATGTAGTTTGTATGCTATGAACCACTCAATTCGAATGCAGATTAATGTCAAGGCTAAACGGAACAGATTTGATGGTTTTACGCAAAGGCACGTGTGAATGACGATAAACCATGCGTACGTATGATATACAATATTTTACGTGCTCGAATTTCTCTGAACCATGCAAACTTATAGCTTCGCGTCACTTCCACGTCGACGTTACCTTTAACGTGCACTGAAAATTGTAACTTAGTTTACACGTCAAAATACGTATGTTGTATGTGAAAGAATTGTGATTAATGTAATGCATGTACGTTTAATAGTCAAACTGTTTTGTAAGGCTAATTAAATATTCGAAAATATTTAGGCAATACTATTCTTTTTTGTTTTTGCTCTTATATATTTACTAGAGGGATAGTATCATTCACTATAATACTAATAAGTTGATAATCAGTTTGGTCATTTATGAATAAACGAATTAAATCATTCTAATTATCAAATAAATGATTATTAAAAGTGTTTCGTTGTTCTCTAATAGTTTTGCTTTTTTAAAATATATTACATATAAATGATTTTTTAAAATAATAAACAGACATTGCAATCATCTTATATGATAACTGTATGTATATTGTATACTTTAATAATGTTTCGGGAAACGACGATTTTTTTAAATAGTTTCGTCAATAATGATATTACCCCAAGTTATATACATATGACAGTTCCATTAGGTTGCCGTAAGAAAAGCTTGTCTCATGCGTATCATCTTCATGTTTACTTTTCTACTTGTAGTCGGAATGAGAGTAATTTTCTTAAATGTACTAATCGTAAGTACGAACGTGAGCTGGTACCATAAAAGAGAAACGTATACTTTATTTCTCAGATTAAAATGATGTTTAAGGATTTAACGTCTTTACGACTTCAATTCTAACGCGTCGAATCGCGATACAGGAGAGAGTATTCTAACGCGTGTTGCGTAATTCTATTATTGCTTATCTGTGTTTATGAATATTGGCAATGAAATTATGTTTCCCAGTAATTCGATTTAATTATGTAATAAATCTGATGGAAATGATAAAGCACTGCATAATATTTACTGCAAATACAGACATACATGTTATTAGTTGATATAAATTAGTGTTATATGATATATAGATATGACGAGGCTAAGTCAGTGTACGAGAATATTTTACGAAATAAGTCATATAAGTCAGTGATTATCGTAATTAATAAATATATGCTTACGTAGTGAGTTGATATTCTCTAACACAATCACATTCGGAAGTACAAGATACTTTCTTCAATGTTGTATAAGAAACAACTTTTTATTAATTTTGATGAATTTAATATTTCTCTAATTCTCATTATATTAATTTTTCTATACTTTTCGGTCAGCTCGTAGAAAACCTGCAATATCAAACTTGTTTTGTAGTCCATATTACCAAGAGAAGTTATCGATTATTCTCAGTTAACTTGTTACTTAGAATCAAAATCTAAATTGTGTTGCGATTAATTACGCTAATTTTTTTACAGAAAATTATAATTTCGAAACTCGTCCATTATTTTTTCGCATCAAGAATTTTTATATTATTGAAATGAATGGTGTTTCGTCTTGTACAAATAATTTCTTTAAGACATTAGGATCACTCGTGAATTGGATTTCGATTTTATTTTCGATTCGTGCGTCGCGACAAGAAACGGACAAGCTACTTTCTAAGAAGTCTGCGGATGACCATCCTTCACCCTTTTTTTTCGAAGTATTAACTCTATTATGATATCGTTTACGTGCTCTATTATATTATCATTAACTCTAGGGCTTTGCTTGAATTAGACCCGACTGTTTAATGTTCTTAGAAAGTTACATTGACACTCCATTTAAATAATGTAATTATCTTCCGGGCAAGTATCGCGCTTAAAATTTCCTACGTTTTCAACGTGGTACAAAGTAATGCTGGCACTCTGGCTTCTGCTTGAGTAGTTAATCGTCACTTTGTCGCATGAGCTGGTATTGTACAAAATGTTTATCAAAATAAATCGTATTCACATAAGGCAGAGCGATCATCTTCTATTAACCTTTTGCACAGCCGGAAAGAGAGACAAAACTGTCACTTCTTTACCTGTTTATTAACATTGTCACCTTGCCACCTTTTACTTATTTCTATGCCTTTCACAATTCTCGTGTTGCCTGTTTGCATTCTCTCTTCAGTTAAACAACAGAATAATTCAAACGAATTATTTGAAATCGTACTTTCAAATGAATAGTTATTATCGCGCAGCCAATGGTAGGAGAAGTTAATTACCTTTGATAGAATACAAAAATTAATAAACTCTGAGAAATTGAATAACTTATTGAAAATCTTGTAAAATTATTATTAAGCAAACTTCTTCGCTTTTTGCAATAATTTGCGTAAATCACCGATACATACGATAACTTGGTTACCATTCACGTATTTAATTATACAATCAAAATTGAATTTTTCAGTTTTATTTAATTTTATGTAGCACAAGTGGATAAAGATTTTCTTGTTTTGAACTATTTTAATATTCTAATTGAAATAAGCGGAACTGGCACGTGATTTCATAGTTAGACCGGATAGCAGAAGGTCAACTGGAAAGACAAAAATCTCACGAAAGTAGTGATTCGCCAATGAAAACGTTTTCAACGAGATAAACATAATAGGTGAAGTTGAATCACCCGTAGCGAATGATATCTGCAATCGAATAAAAATCAACCAGTGTCTATAACTGTACTTGTAACACTTGGGGACCATTACTAGATGAAATTTCATATTAGCTGTACATTTATGAGACTCTATAGATTTCTCGATATCAAGTTCTGCAACTTGAAAAGGCAACTATTTTAATTTGCTGTTGTACGCAGAGATAAAGATTCATTAGTTTTCATTTAGTGCTGCCCGTTGATTAATGCGTACAGTAGGTATTAAATTGCTATTAATCATATTTATTTTCAATTGCAAATATAGCAGCATAGCGATATATATACGTATGTATGTGCACGCGCATTTGTAATGTGCATATTTATGAACGCACGATAGTATATACGACTTCCTTGAAATTGTGCGGCCATTGTGTTACGATACGTTTAAAATAATTATTAGTGAAAAAAAAGTTCAAACATTATTATGTTAACAATATCGCTTTTCTATATTTATTTCTCTTCACTACAGAAACGAATCAGTTTAAACATAGCAATGCAAACTAATCTACTTATGTGCAAGATACGACGCGTATAAAACACACTTTCTAACATTTTCGTGTGACGTGTTATCTCAGTTTAGGTTATCCATTGTTTGACATTGGAACGTGTGTAATTTACAACAAACAGAAGTGAAGCAAGCAAGTACGATAACATATTGACACATTTTGAAATTCTTATTTTGAAACCTTAAAATTAAATTTACATTTTTGGGGAACATTCGGATTGAAGGTAATTGAAATCTATGTCAACATCATCTTGCATCGTAGACAAAACTGGATTATGAATCAATCTACGATAATACCAATCGTTAGCTTTAGAACATTCTTTAACACGTTTACACCGACGCTTTTTGTATACATGGTGTTTTACGTTAGCCGTGAACCACCGGTGGTATACGTCATCGTAAACGTGTTAATGTTCCTATAACGAAGTAACAAATTCTGGAAAAATTGTATGCAGCTTTTCACATTTTACTATTCTATGATCGAATTAGCACACACAAATCTTCCACGAATTTTTCATAAACAAATAAGATAACAATAATAAAATTTGCATAAATTCGTTATAATCATTTATCGAAAAAAGGACTTCTGTTACTCCTAAAGACATACAAAAAACAAAAGAATAAGAAACGTATTAACCTGTTAACTGTGGAATTTAGTTTCAAAAGTCTTTCATCGTGCATGCAATAAAATCAAACGGTGAAACGTATACTAGTCAAACGCAGCTGAAATGCACCTATAATACGTTTTAACGGAAGATTAAAGCGAAACAAAGAAGAGTTACACATTTATCGGAAAAAATAAATAAGTCACTGATTAAATGATATGTATACTCGTCGAATGCAGTTAACTGGTTAATTCTAGCAGAAGTATGACCAAATTACATTTATCCTTACAGATTACTGGCAGACTCGATAACCCGTAGATTTTATTGATCGTTTCCATTTTCACAGTTCACAGACACTCCTTATCCTAAAGTCGATCGAAAACGAAGTGGACAATGACGTTAGCAGAAAACACCGAACCGAAACGAAGTTCCAGTGACCTTTCGAGCGCGGCGATCGAAGAAGACGCGCGTGACGCTCAGAGGTCGGAGGAGAACTCGAACCTGAGCACGGAAGGGAATCCACTGCTGGAGACCGATAATAAGTCCATATCGATCAAGATCGAGAGCACGGCCGCGAGATTAAAGAAGATGGACAGGGATGACGAGGATCAGGCGTCGCTGAATAATTCGAGAAAGGATCCGGAAGCGATTGCACAAAACAATATCGCGCCGCCGGATGGCGGGATGCGGGCGTGGATGATCATGATCGGCAGCTTCGTTATCAACGGCGTACTTTTCAGCGTCATCAACTCTTATTCGTTGATCTACCTCGAATTGCAAAAGCGATTGTTAGACGCCGGTGATGTTGCAGCATCTTCGAAAGCCGGTGAGTTTTTCTGTGATTTCGATCATTTGATAATATCCGAGAACTTCGCGGGGATATTAGAAATGATTGTTGACACGATACCTTCGCTTTTCGCTGAATTAGCATCGTTCATAGACTGCGGATTCGTATGCGTTGATGGAAAATTTAAAAGTGCAACGGTTGCAAGGAGTGCTCGAAATTACGAAGTATTCAAGGCGTAGTGATTTTTGTATTGTTTGTTCGGAAAAACTATTTTTTATTGTACTTCTATTTTTCTGATGGGGTTATTAAGACTAACTGTTTTTGATACGATTAATATGTAAATGATTATTATAGAGATTGCGATAGTAGATTTTTTTCGATTTATTCATGTGTTCATTATAGTATTCAAATGAAACTATTTTGTAAACCATTTTGAATATTTAATACTTATAAAATATCAATAATTGGGAAATATTTATGCTGGTGTTAATATTGCTTAAAATAATTAATTTTAGTGTTAACAATTTGCATTTGCATAAAGATCCGCGGTCTGATCATTAGGTAATTATTCACCTTAGGTAATTTCTTTTATTTAATAAGAGAAAGTTTGTTTTGCACTTTATAAACAATTAGTGATGAGACTTTGATGTAATGAAAATGTTATGTATTAGCGTATTAAATGTCGAGAAGAATTAAATTAGATTTAGTTATTTTATAGCTTATGCGATATGATATTAATAAGTATGTTGCAGTTGCTTAATTTTTTAATATGATCTATTTAGATCTGATAATTAATATAATAATATGATCATTTATTATGATTAATTCTTTAATATGAAACAAGTTTGAATCTATAACACATGTAAGTTTGTAGCTGCAAGTAATAGTAGAACAATGGTTTTAATAAGAAAATATTTCGACTTTAATGTAAATACACAGTTCGTGTTTCATCGAGATATGATTTTGCTAGTGGAATTTTGAGTACTTAATGCATTAATGGATGTTTAATATCGAGTGCACTTTCAGTGAGCATGAGGATAACGGCTTTATTGTCATTACTACGGTATTTTCATACGGTTGCAAATTTTTTTGCTTGACTGCATACGGTTGCATGATTTCGTTACTCTATCGCAACATACATTATGCAAAATTATGTAAAAGCGAGATACATGATATTTGAAACGTATTTTGTTTAATTTTTATTCACCAAACATTTCTTTCGGTTGAAGTATTCAGTTTAAAGAATTTTATGGATGAAATACATGGCATTTAATTTAATCTGTATAATACAATATTGATTCGCGATAAATTATTCTTTAACGTTTATAAAATTTAATAGCATACGATTTCATTACTTTATTTCAATATCATAAAAATTTGGAACGCAATGCTTCGTTATAAATAAAAATGACTCCGAAATTTCAGTTTACTGTTTGTATCTCTCGTTTTAACATTGAACCGACGGTTCTTTTTATCTACGCTGCGCAGTGCGTGTTTAATTTGCCTGTACGTGTAGTTAATAATTATACGAAACGTGATAAATCGTGTTTCTTATTTATTGTTCATATATTTGTAGCTCACTGTACAATAGCAAGGCCCGATTCAAATAAAATAGAATGGAATCCGCACGTGATAAAAGAAAAAAAGATAACGCCGGCGCAGGGCGAAGTAGAAAAATTTTCATCTTTTCCACTCGTTTCTATTGATGTCTCCCTCAAGTGATTGTTCCGCGCAGTCAACGAACCGCATTATCTTTACATTTTTAGTATTGACGAATTCTTTCTCCGATAACGCATTATCTAATAGTTACTTTTAACGATCATTGACCTGTCTCGACTTCATTCACACAATTTTACTTTCAATTGTTTGGTATCTATTTCTTATCTTTTGTTGACCAGTACTTTCTAATCATTCCAAAGATGAATTCTGAAATGTTATTCTCCTTGACTGTGTCCTGTCACACATTTCAGAAATTCGACAGTTTTATGGATTAATGATTTAGTTGATGTATTTAAGATTAAGTAAGATAAAATACTTTTAAGGCAACGCCTAAAAAAGAGAATTAACGTAATTTTGAATAATATTTACATTTTAATCAATTTTAATATTTTTATATCGTATAAATTTGATAGCTTAAACGATAAAATAAATATATAGAATACACTATCATATCATTTTGGTACGAATGGTTTACTTTTATGCATCGAGCACAAAGAATGCAAATAGGTGCATCACAAGCATGTTTACGATTAATTAGTATGTGACTCTAATTATATCAGCTCATAGTGTTTCACATTACGATGATAAGAATGCCAGTAGTATAATTCCATTGTTAATTTGTCCATGGCCTAAATATGTAAGCTCGTATACTTCGGAACTGAATTCTGCGTACTGTCGGTTTCTTAGGCTTAATCATTGTTAAACGCGGTATGGGACGACTACTTAGACTTGCATATCAATTAAACTGATCGATCAGCCTAATCATCTGTAGAGTCAATGCTCCAGACAACCTGGATCTGAATTAGTCGACAATTACGTGGACATTAATAGTAACGAGGGTCAAATAATATTAATCTAGGGGTAGTTACTCTTTGAAGTAAAACTAGGTCTTTGCGAAGCAACTCGAACGGCAAACGATGCGGATCGTACGCGAATGAGAAGAATCATCTGTGATTGATTGTTAACGTGACATTAATTTGCTATCCATTATTCGTGAAGCTTTGGCAAAGTATTTATTCAGATTATCAAATTCTCATTTCAATACTTCGCACAGTCATCAACTGCAATTGTAAACAAGCATATTTTCAATTGTTTTTTAAATAAATTATTATTACTACAATATTCATTACAATTATTGCAATAGTATTGAGAGTAAACTTTACCTTCGGAATTGATTTACGTAAAAGTTTTACAATAAAAAGGATTAAATTAAAAATTCATTCAATTTAATATAAATTAAATGTAAGATCTTAGTGACAGAGGTCGAGAATTTAAGGAAGTAATCATTAGACAACAACTCGTTGACAGAGATTGAGATACATGAAGCATTTCATTAAGAAGATCATCATTGACATTGTCAGTGACAGGTGATTGTTTAAGCTTACTAATGTTCGAATGTATTTTCAATATAGCTTTGGTTGGGTCATTAACCATTGGTACCACGTTCTTTTTATCGCCGGTCTCTGGCATTCTCACTGATAAAATCGGCATCCAGATGACAACGTTTTTGGGTGGCGCTGTCGCATCCAGTGGAATGTTCCTCTCATCGATGTTTTCTAACAAGGTGAAGAATTTTTATCCAAAATTTTTGATCGAAAATAACTTACCTTTCTTCAACGTGAAGTTCTTTATGTGAAACAACAGATCATTACAAGGCTAATTTTTCAAAACAAATTTTCCAATTTTTGTCCCCGTTTTAACGTCAGAAATTTACGGCAATTAGCTTAAGATTTTCTTCAGTTTCACCAGCAATAAGTATTAGAAAAGCGAAAAGTTTGTCAGTCGCGAGTGTGTTAAGATTCGTTTCTACAAAGATTAATTCTTTTAAACTCCACTTAAGAAAACAAAATAAAGCAAAAATATATTTCTCAGTTTTTTTCGATCAAACTTTGTCAGTATATTCTACGAACATGACTAAAAAGGAAATATAAATATAGATTAAAGTTTTATTAATCGGTTAATTGCGTTTGACGAATGTACACGTCATTTTAAAGCTTGAAATGATACTAATTCTTTCAACGATGAATTCTTTATGTTTTCAGATAAACGTGTAATTCTTCTTTGTTTTGTTTTGGGTTTTCATTAAAATATACCCTAGGTGCATTCCTCCTACGTTTGACGAGTACATATTTCATTTGTTCATTTGTTACAATTTGTTCAATAGTACAATCTCTCAAAATGAGAAATTTTTCAAATTAAATTCCACAGTTAACAGGGTAAAGAGTTATAAGAAAGGTGGATGATTGCATACGAGTGTACAAGATGTGTAATCAGTTCAAGTAATTTCTGTTCTATTACTCTGATGCAGGTGGGCTTACTCTATCTGACTTACGGAGTGATGTACGGACTCGGTGCGAGTTTAGCTTATACGCCGAGTTTAGCGATCTTAGGGCATTATTTTAAACGATATTTGGGCCTGGTAAATGGTATCGTCACTGCTGGTAGTTCAATATTTACCACCCTTATGCCATATTTCATGGAAGTTGTGCTTCGCCGTTTCGGATTAGAAGGCACGTTAAGATCCATAGCTATTCTCACCGCGGTCGTCATGGCATGTGGCATACTTTTCAAACCAATTCCTTGTAAGTATATTACAAACTCAATATCCATACTTGAAAACCACTTCGACATGATATTTCACAAAAATGACGCGTAAAAGTGAAAATCTAAGTAAGAGAAATGAATCTAACTGTTTACCGCGTCCATTGTCTTCAATTACAAGTACTTACCTTTCTGTTTTACTATACTTTTATACGTTTCATACAATTATTCCACAATTTATGAATACATATTTTCAAAATTCCATAGTGAACATTTACTACTAATTATTTTACCAATGAAACTGCGATAACAAGGGACAAAGATACGAATTGTTCATAATCACTTTTTAGTCACCTCTGAACCAAGGAATCAATTGAAGTCCAAATCAAACTTCAAAAGCTGTTTGAAAGAGGTTGTTAACGTTTCTATATGGAAGAAGAAACGATACGTGGTCTGGGCCAGTTCCATTCCCCTCGCCCTGTTCGGGTTAGTATTACTGCGAGACGTTATTATAATACGCTAATGCTTTCGCCTGCAGCGTAAGCCATTTTGATTGCTTTTACGCGTGAACTACCGACCAACGTCGCGCGACCGTTCGACGAAAATCATTTGTTTCGGTCGTTGTGCACTTTTGCAAACGATATATACGGCTGGTTGTTGATAGTGAAACAATAGAAGCTGTCACTCGAAATAATTTCATTCGCCACGGAAACCGTCGTGGAACTCGTATCCCGAGGACGGTTGCGAAAGTAAAACTCGTTTTCTCAGCGGCAATCAAGTTACACGGCGTGTAATTCAAACCATTGTAAAAGAAACGACCGCAGCGAAAGCGTCGAGCGTATAAAATGACATGAGTTTTCAGATCAATGAGAATGTTCATTTCAGGTATTTCGTCCCGTATGTTCATATAGGGAAATTCGTTGAGACAGTGTTCAAGGGCGCGGACAGAAAGCTTCCAGTCATGTGCATCGGCATCACGTCCGCCCTCGGCCGATTGATCTTCGGTTATATCGCCGATTTACCCAAAGTGGACAGGATATTCTTACAGCAGGTAAATAAGTAGTGGAAATATCTGTGAAAACTTATTGTTCTATGTGAAACCAAAATTTCACATAAAAAATAGGATGTGATAGTTAAAAAATGAAAACTGACAACGTTAAATAAACATTACACTAAATTTAAAAATTGCAACATTAAAAAGAAATTCTATTGAACTTGAAAATTAATTATAAAAATCTCAGTTGTTACTATAATATTTTTGAATATTTTTTAAATATGTTTTAATTTTATTCTTCCTCAGATATCCTTTGTCAGTATTGGCGTTCTCACAATGCTTCTTCCCGTCACGCATTCATTCATAGTGTTGTTACTTATTTCTCTGGCTATGGGATTATTTGATGGGTGCTTCATATCTCTGTTGGGTCCTATTGCCTTCGATATATGTGGCCGGGAAGGAGCCACCCAAGCCATTGGATTCTTATTGGGAATGTGCTCCATACCACTGACCGTGGGCCCACCAATTGCTGGTCTTCTTTACGATCATACTGGTAATTAGTTTCAATTGAACGGCGTTAAGTAAAAACACTTTTAAATAATAGGTTTAAATTTCAATCTTTAGCTTTTTACTTTTTTTGTAGAATTACAAGATCAGTTCAGATTTTAAATCTTTATTCTATCGAATAAATTTACACGCTCGATTATTTTAGTCGCACATAAAAACCAATTATCTTTAGCCAATTAATTAAGCAGTGATAATGTGATTCAACTTACAAATTTTTTGGTTTTTTTTCCTGTTTAGGTAGCTACGATCTACCCTTCTTTCTAGCAGGTATACCACCGATAGTAGGGGCACTGATGATGTTCCTAATAAAATTCGTTAAAGACGACGACAGAAATTGCACTGGAGAGAACGCGGACAATAAAGCGGCTTGTCAAAATGGTCGGTAAACAGGTAGTTGTGCATCCTTCACATCTAACTAACAGAGTTTGTTTCTCCATGTGGTATTGAAACACGTGCGTGTCGGTTTGTAAACTTGTTTCACGAAGGCGGTTGAGACTTTCCATGGAAAGCTTTTCGGATAAATAAAACACGCCTGCTGTCAAGGGGGACAGAGCACTTGGTAAAATAAATTCAGTATTTGGAGAAAATATGTCTGCATACTTTGCTCAAACGACCGTTGTTCGTTATTTTTCTTTTCTCGTGCACTGCAGCATTCGTTGGGATTTATGGCATGTTCCCATAATTGTACCGATTCTATTTGCATGATGTTTTTGGGACGGTAAGGCACTAATGATAATAACAACAATAATAATAATAATAATAATAATAAAAATAATAATGATTATGTTACTAATAACATTCACTTTTCATCTTTTTGTCAAAGTACACTTTATTCATAATTTTTTTCTTATTAATACTTCTGTTTCAGACTTCTAACTGTTAACTGGAATGACTTACACGCTAATTTTGCTTATTTCTGCTTTTTATTTGTTAATTTTTAACAGGGTTTGAAGTACTGACTCAAATCAATCTTGATAAAGGATTACGAAAATAGCTAATTATCTATTACACCTTTGGTTCGCTATAAAGTTAAGTGTGCTTTTATTAACAACTAATGATTGTATTGCTCTTCCTAAAAATCAGTACAGGTATTATTATTTTTAACATTAACAATGTTTCATAAAAAGACTCAGAATTGTAATTTGAGGACAGTAGTATCAGTCATTTCTAATCAGACATCTTGAAAGTATATTTTATCTTGAAAGATATTTGTAATTAGTCAAACATCAATTTATAAGTACAACCTGCAGATGTATACAATCATTACACATATAAAATATCTACCATAAATTTTTTTAATTTCTCCGAATTCTCTTTGCTGATATTTTCGTTCGACTATTTTCAAACTACCCCTTTCCTGTAGTGACCCCTAGAATTGTTTGAATTTACTTTTTGTAGTCGTTCAACCTCTTGCACTACGATATCTTTCAGAACAACCCTCGACAAAATTATTTCATTGCTCATAATTCATTAGAAAAAGAACAAAGTTGTAGTCTCATTCTAGATCCACGTTTACTCTGAAGCATCACAATAGTAACCGGAAAATAATATTTAATTCGGACTTTAAAGAATGAAATGACATTTACATTTGTCAAATTCCATTGGAACTTTTCGCCACGAGCTTGACACGATATCGTAGATCAAAGGGTTAAGAGAAAAAGAAAACCTTCTCGCAGTTTGCCAGTTTCTTAACAGCCAGGTGATGGTGTCTCTTAACATTCAGCATCCCTTCAATGTATTTGCCATGATTAACAAGCATTCAAGATTTTGTAAATATTTCTGCGAGCTCATTGATTGCTGGCGGGAAGTAGTCTGTATCTTTCACATCCGTCCTCGAGTGACCAAGTATCGTTTCGTTCGGTTGTAAAGCGGTTGTGTTTGCAATTCACAGAGTACTCGAGCATCGGCTTTCTGCCCCCGTGCTTCGTGGCGACACTCAAGAACGTGTGCGAACCACACGAGCATTCACGCCGGAAGATGATGCGCTGGAACGTGCAGAATCATTATTCAAGACGCTGCGGACTTAAGGGAGGCATCGGGTGCCGGTGTCACGGTATTAAGTGTCCCGATCATAACGAACATTCGGAGAGTGTGCCATTATTGTACGACGAGAACGTATCGCTGAGATCGCAGTCGTCGATGTTCCTTTCGTTTTAACGGGACTGCAACGAATTTTGATGAGCCGGAGTCAATAACGTCTCGACTCTTGTGGTCTTTGCAGTTAAAACGCCTGGTGGATTTCACGTTTACGAGGTGTTCATTGGAAAAATTATTTCAACGTTTCATTACCTTCGAAGATTAATAGTACGAAGATAAAGGGAGGAATATTTTTGTATGCCGAATATTGTACAGTGGAAAACGTTCATTATTTGCACGTGATTGATGCATCAGTCGGATAATGATAATCTAGTTAACGCTGTATTTGCAGATTCGTAGTGCAATGATACTATTTAGATTATGGATTGTACGATCCATCGTGACGTGTATTTTTAAACGAAGATACCATTTTAACTGAAGTGACAATAACAATTCATTTAGTTAAAAATTATTAAGGAAAGAATTTAGTGTTCATGTTAGTTATATACTAGTTTTGTGTTTTAATAGGTAATAATGATGAGCTGATAGCATGACATGATGTGCAATAGCCCGATTTCATTGTAATGAAACGTTTAAATCGTTTTTCGGAGGTAAATGAATATTACTTGAAAGTCTGCAATGTTTAGCTGCAAAGTACTTTAACTTTGAGTATACTCTTGTTGGTAGAAACATTAGATCAGATTACCGTCGTCAATGGATGTAGTCAATTATTAGCGAATGTTAAAAATGTTGCAAGATATATGTATTTTAGCGGTTGACACTAGAATCTTGATTAGACTTTGTGATTTTAATCATTGCGTTGCTCGTAAAATATTTGATTTCTGTTTCCATGAGCATTTTGTACGAAAGGTATAGATAAGCGTTGCGATACCGATGAAAAGAACATATTACATATGGTGTAAAACAATGTTGTTATTCATGTCTCCCGCAGAAAATGCGTCTCGTTATTTTTATCTTTTTAGAAAACTGTCGGGGCACGTTGCATTTTTTGAGGGAGAATAAATGTAACTGCAGGTTTCTTCTTTTCTAAAGGGATATTGTAGAGTTGCCTCTATAAGATATACTTACATACACATGGTTTCCTGTATCATAGAATTTCGATTAAAAATTTTTGTATTTGCTTTTTGAAATTTTAATTAATTAATGGAATATTAATTATAGCCTTTAAGAGAGTCGTTTTATCGAATTTAACGAATTCATCGTTCTTTTATGATACTATTACGATATTTACTATTTTACGTGACAGTTCATTATCTGTACGAATATTTATTAACAGTGGTCTATGTTTTTTATATATTATTTTCTTAAAACATGGAACGAATATGTTTTCCTGTGTAATTTCAATTTCGAAAATAATTGGTTCGCAGAATTGTCGGAAGTGCATTTTTAAAAATGAAGAAGTACGAACATTCCATTCGGCATCTTCTGTCTCATTCACGATTGTATTATTATTAAAGCAATATCCTGTATTCATTAATATTCGTTCGAAATTCAAATTCATTAACGAATAAAAACATTTGTAATTTATTTCGCGTGGAATCTGTTTTAAGAAATAAAGGACCTAAAAATTGTTTGATAGATATGTTATCGTCTTTAATATTTACAGAATAAATGAAAACTATATTACTTTTATTTTGTACTTGTATGTTAATACTTTTAACAGAAGCACTGAACTGGTGCATATAGATCTTGTTTTCCTCCAGTCTTACGCGTGTGACATATATTAACATATATTAATTAATTCTTATTAATTATATTAATACGAATTTTTTGGGTTTTGTCCGAAAAATAAGAATTTTTATTTGGTGGCTACATTAGTTATCTGTTCATTGCAGCTTTTATATATTGCACAAGTGACTACACGAATTTTGTAATGGATTATGTTCGAAAATTGGACCGTAAAAATCTCAAATTTCTGATGAAACATTAGATAATTACATAGGGGATATAAACACTGAATTTTTTTCGAATTGAAAAAGGTCATTGAATTCGTATAAAGATGGTACACAAAGTATATTACTTTTCAAAAGTCTTACAGGGTTCTTTCGCATTAAAGAAAAACAAAAAAAAAGGAAAACAATATTATATATGCACTAACAAATCCGGGAATACAATTCATCTACCTAAAGTAATCTCACAATCTTTATCAAACAGGAACAACTATACCGTTCTCGGTAAATAACGCCGATTCTGCGAGGCCATTTTTCGTTTGACTTATTACATTATATATATACAACTAAAGATATATGAGAATCCGAAAATATTGGGTCAACTGTTGACGGGAATTTTTTCGAAATCGGGATAAGTCCTGTAGATATTTCAGAAGTCAAAAATATCGAGAAACCCTATTCATGTTTCGAAATTAGCTTGGAATGTATATTTATTGAAAATTAGAATTTTTATTTATTCAGTGTATAAAATACCATATTCAACAGAGTTAGTCTTGAAATTCTTGAGAACCTCAATATTTTTGGATCTCAAAGTATATTTTGGACTTGCTGGACCAGTCCCAGGTTCCCGAGCGTAAAGACTGTTCGGAAAGTATACAACCTGTGCTCATATTTTTGCCCTTGAGTGGGCAATCATAGATAATATGTGTTTATTTTGGAGGTGGAATCTTAACAGATGATTAAACCATGCAGTAGAGCACTGCATGTCCTCATTCGATAATGATATGCAATCTTATGCATCAACTCTCGCGAGTTTTGTCTTCAAGACACCCATCTGCCCATTTGTCGGAAATGGTTCAGTAATTCCTGATGAAACAGGACACTTGGCAACTTCACCAGGTTTCTTAATTCTGGTATAGCTACCTCGGACTTCTAATTGACCATCAAAATGAAAAGTGCTTTCAAAGAAAACATTTGTAGGCGTACAAGGAATAAAATTAAACGCGAGGCAACTGTTCACTATTAGGAACCGCACTATCCAGTTCACTACTCAGGATCACTGGAGGAAGACTATGGCCACCAGAGGATAATACTTCAAGAGGACGTTATCAACATTAACACCTTGTTGACCGGTCACGAATTAACATTTTCACAACCCAAGCCGTTCACGAATGAAATTATATCTGCTACATTAATCTACATTTAAAGGCAATCTTTGTAAGAATGCTTTACATCGTTTTTTTTTTCAAATCGCTGAATTAGTTCAGTTTACTATACATAAG